TTGCCACCATTCCTTATATACCCCTCTCTTACACTCTCGTCATTGTGACGTACTATCCGCGCCATCTGGAGGTTTCCTGTAATTTGCATATTCTTCTTCAAGATGTGTGTGATAATTCTACAGGTGAAATTTTTATTTTAGAGTTCAATTTCTGTGTGATTCTGAGAATTGTCCTTAATTTATGCAAGTGAGTGTATATTCAATACTATATATTCAGCTAGCTCAAGTTCATAGTAGTTGAGTGCAATTTTGCAAACGCTTAAAAATATTCCGGATAGAATAGATTGCCAAAAAGTTGATAAAATAGAAAAGACCTTCAAATTTTTGTGATATGGAGATTTTTGTAATTTCTGAAATCAAAAGAAACACGTGACCACATTTACATATAATTCATAATGGGCTCTACTTACAAAAAGTACATTTCCTAATTTTTATGTCTATTTTAATGTTTTTCTCGTTGTATATTAACGACTTTTTTGAAGAGTTTATTTCGTAGGTTTGTGATCTATGAGGTGTATTAGATATGTACAAGAAAATGATGTTCCATGGGAAAAATACTTAACACCTTAAATGGTCAATTATTTTACCCAAAATGCTTAAAAAAGGCACATTTTTTTATTCTTTATAGTAAACACCATACTAACTTCCGTCTTTCCCACAAAAAAATGCCCGATGAAATACCGTAGGCAAAATTCTAGCACTAAAAATACACCATAAGAATTAAATGTAAACGCAAATCAAAGAAAGAAAGAAAATATCTGTGTGAGTGCGTACAGCGTACGGGCAAACCGCTAAAGGAGTTAATGTATAACTGCAAAAATTAAACATTTCACATTATTTTGGATGCAAAAAATTGTTTCTTTTACATAAACTGCTAAAGATGTTTACAATTGATTAGATATATTAGTATAAAATTGAGTAGAAAAACTCTGTCAAAAATAAACTTTAGACAAAATTTAGAGTAAAAATTTGAAAGATATATCAGTTTTTGAAAGCAATTACGTAAACTTTTCATTGTGTGTGTGTGTGTTTGGAAAAACAATTAACAAGAAAGAAAATTCTTTAGTAAATAAGAACCCGAGCCTTATAAGTCTTTCTATCTACGGAAGGAGTATTTTTATCCTTAATCTGATGTTTCCTGCAAGATAACAAACGGCAATTAGTAGTTGTCTTCTTTTGGGTGATGGATCTCCTACCATCAATTAACCTCATCACGAAATCGTCAAAGACGTCTTGGAAAAGATATTAAGAGAAGCACTGATCTTTGAAATGAAGGAAATTGTTTATGGAAACTTACAGCATCCGGGTATGCCACAGTCACTTATTCCATTGATTAGTGGAATAAAAATACCCCCATATATATATGTTGATAACATATTAAAAGAAAACTAAGGAAAGTCAAGTATTGTATAGTGATTTCATCCTGCTGTTTTAGTCAAATTGACTTATTCAATTAATGCATTAAGTTCAGAAATAGTGGAAGATAATTATAAGAATATTTATATTAGCTTGAAAATACGAATATTTGAAATTTATTTATTCAGATTTAACAAGAGAGCCTTTGAATAAAGATAATGCACTTTGATCGCATGTATTACTTTCTCCGACGAAAGTAGTATCAACTTAAATCGTTAAAATGGGAGAAATTTAATTTGGAGATAAACAAAACTTGAGCTACGAGAAAAGATCATTTAAGCAAGAGTAGAATATGAAGGTAAAAAAGGTGGCATGGGGTTGTATGTATGGCGCAGGCGTCGTCATATTTAAGTTCACTGATGACACATTGGCAATTAAATTAATTTTTTATTCGTAAAAATAATCTTCAGCAAAGTGCTTTTACGCTTCATCTACGCAACAACTTCTGCTTCCAACTGAAAAATTTCGTTGCGAATAAAACAATTCTAAATCCCATGTTGCTGGGTGATATTGGAAATGATTCAGATAGCTTTAATTGATAAAACATTTTTATTAAGGAGAAAGGAACAGTACAAGCTTAAAAACTCATTTTGCTTATGACCCCTCCACTAAACTCTCACGGCGTCATATAGTTACTTCACAGTAGATCTACGTCATACATCATACAGTTGCATAAACATGTCATCATACAGAGCTGCTCCTTTATTTTAAAAACCCCAATAGATTCCAAGAATTCACCCACATTATTCTCTGTGATTGTTCTATATGCCACGCACTTTCAAGCATCTAGCTTAATTCCCTGCAATCCTATGAAGAATTTATGGAAAGAACTTGATTATAGAGATTGAGGAAACACACATTATGTGAACATGAACGTGGATTATTTGCAAAGGCTTCGCCTGAAACAGGAATTTAAAACTCGCGGCCCGCGGGCCACATGAGGCACGGAGCGAATATTTTCTGCAAGAATTCGAAACAACCAAGTTATCGGCACACAATAGTATTCAATAAAATAAAAAACCGACACAAATAAAATAAGTAGAACTCGCTAAACGTTTTTATTTAATTATACTATTTTTGTGGAACCTTTTTATAAATTTCACTGGTATGTAACGGAATCTTTGAACTCAATTTTTACCCACTTGAAAAGGTCAGATTAATTCGAAATTCTGCTCACTTGTCCAAAACCGATGACAATACAATAATTTAATAATTTTATTCCATTGTCCTGATCAGGATTAACGATTTCCCGTTTTCAGATTCCATCCTGCGTCTGATGACTCATTTCAGATCCCATTTTCAGATTTGGCGACTAAAAGATTAAGTTACAACTTAGTTCGATTAATGGGTGTTTTTAGTTTTCTTAAACTGTAATTTATTTAATGTTATTATTGAACAAAATGCGTACATTTATTTCGAATATATTAATTAATTTGTTTTTTGGGTATTAGAAACCTGCAGCTCACAACTTAAAATAAAAAAGAGCTTGTGGCTTGTAATATCATATGAGTTTGATATCCTTGGCTTAGAAGAATGTGGCAAAATGTTTTATGTGAAACAATGACAAAACTATTGTATTATATGCTGAATAAGCTCAAAGTTGTTATCAGAAACAGAAGACTTACCGTAAAATATTGATTATATTTTATTTTGATATTTTAATCACTGGGCTCCACTTTTGTTTATGATTGAAGCAGCTTAATGCTTATGGTTACGAGCTACTCATCAGAGTGTCATAAGTTCTAGCATCAGTGCCACTGAAGGCCCACCGTGTAGAGGGAATGATACACATTAAATCTGTCGCAATTTAAAGTCGCGTGGTGTGGTGATTTGAAGAGGGAGTATCATCCCCGTCAATTAAACGAGATTAAAAATAACGAGATCCTTCGCCAATAGCCTTCATGCTGCTTTAATAAACTATCCATAATTCCTTTTTGTACTTCATTTTAATAGGTTGAAAAAGGTTCTATTTATTTTTGTAAGTTTAGTAATTTAAGGTATCCGACTACCCTAAAATTGTAAGTTTTAAAAAAATTGACAATTATTTTTATGATTTTATTTTATAGGCCATCTTATTAGTTTTATAAAAATACCGAGTTCATTACTTTCCGTTCATTAGAACAAAAATTACAAGTGTTTTAGTAAAAGCAGATGCCATTACTTTAAGAAAGTTTTGTCATACTTTAAAACGCGTTTTACTCGAAATGTGTTTTTTCTAAAATGCTCAAACGGGGACAGCGATTGCTTAAAAAGTTTTGAAAATAATAAAGTTTTTTGTGTATGTTCTGTATAATAGTAGAAGTGTTTTAACCTTCAGATTTATCAATCACTGTTTTATTACAAAATTTAAAGTCCCTTATGTGAACATAATCATTGTTTTTTTAAGCAATTTCATATATTAACTGAGATAAAGTGCTCTAGTTTTTGTAAAAAAGAAAATATCTCTAATCCTGAAGATCATTTTAGAAAGGAAATAACATAGCAACACATCAGAATTGAAAAATTGAAAATTTGTTTATAAACCTTTGGTACAGAATGGGGCTCGTTTATGTTATTTTTTGTCAATTTTTACCAATTTTTTCTCGCTTTTGAAATAATATAATTTCTCTTCCTCTTCTTAATTTAGCATATTTTTCTTAAAATGTACTATATAAACAAATCTAAAAACAACAAAAAATCCCCATATCTCCATTTTTAAAAAAAAAAAAAGCTGTCGCAAGTAGTCGAATACCTTAATATGAATTTACAATTTTACTAATCCCTATCATATGTATTTAAAGAGTTTATGAATAATATTTTTAATAAATATAATGAATTGTACATTACCTTTTCTCCTCCATTTTTCGAGAAAATACAAGATGTGCCTCCACTTATGTATGTCACTTCATGTAAAGGAGCAGGTAGGGATTCCTTACATTTTTCTATAACCAAATTTTTGGATTTTTTAAAAAAATTATCAATTAGTTCAGTTTTTTAAATTCATTTCAGATTCAAAATATACAGACTAAAATTTTATTTTCAAATCTTAACTTTTTTCTTCGCGGTCTAACTAAGCAGAAGATTCTCCACACCCCTTTTTTCTCTCTCTCCTTTATTCTTATTTGACACTGTCTGCTCTTATTCATTTTCATTCTCTTCCTTTCCGTAATCAGCTCGTTATTTCCGGATTCCTCAAGAGTATTCTGTTCGAGTGACGAGGGAAAAAGTCCAAACAATTCGATTTTTACCGACCGATGAGGCATAAAAATGTCATCAGAAAATAATAGGAATTTCTCTTACAACAGGGCGTGATGCATTTCGGTATGTCAACCATTTATAAGACTATTTTTTCAATTCCTGTTATAAGCTTACATTCTCTTTATATATATTTATTTATATATATCTTGTTCAAATTTTCAGTCGTTAATAAAATACTTTTATTCATCCACTCAAACTGAAATACACTTTTTTAAAACTTGTAGTGGAAGACGCTTGATGTTAATACAGATTTTTTCAAATATGTATTCATTAATTCTATTTAATAAATGAAAACAGTAACAAACAAAATAATAGCCCAACACCATACATAAAAAGATTCTCGGCGTGTCACTGTAGCGCAATGGATAGCGCGTTGGACTTCTAATCCAAAGTCTTGGGTTCGAATCCCAAATGGGATGGTCTAATTTCTGAAATTGTGATTTTTTTTCTTTTTACTATTTTATTCGAATAACTAAATTTAATTAATGAATAAATAGTAACACACAAAAATAACAAAGAAAGGAAAATGGAAAATCGCTTTCTATTTTACCACTTAATATTGTGATTCTGTGTCATATGTTTTTACATATGTATATATTAATTGTAATTATTTTATAAAAAGTAACTAGAATAAAATTTTTCTTTGTTGACCTAAGTAGGAATTGACTTAATTTTTTTTAAATATTACTTGTTTCCAGTAATGTTATGTTAAAATATTTTGGGTATTTAGATAGATTTATAAAAAGAAATAATATTCATTTACTTTATTACTAAAAATTAATATGATTTTTAAGACCACTTTTTGGATGGAAAGTACGTTTCTCATCACTCACTGGGAACTTTTCAAATGTAGGGCATTTAATGTTTTGTACTTCTTTTTATATCGCATTACATGATCTTTCTAAAAAAATAATTTGCAACACTAAAACATATTGAAGGAATAATATATTATATATATTTTGTACAAAAAAGTTTAAAAATATGTATATGTATATTACTCTTCACAATTGCAGAAAACAGGAACTTAAACACAGTGGGACATAGCAAACTGAATATAAACGTATCTTGTTTTCATGTGATTTAGAAGAGAACAAAAGGCAATGTCTGTACCTTTTTTTTATCAAGTTGGCATATAGTCACCCACTTTAATCAGTCACCTGGAATAGTTTTTTTGCTTCTCAGGAAATTTATAGGTCATAATTTGTACTTGTGACTTGAAAAATCCTGAAATCAGTTGTCATGCTATCCAAAGCACTAGTGTACGAATCATACATAGGAATAAAGCTTTCCATGGTCATTTAAAAATTAAGTTGATGGTAAATATATATACTTACCACGCGGCCATATAAAGAGTTAAAGAAGGTTGAAGGTTATATTGCTTCAGAATAATTTTATTAAATACGAGAGTGAGTCGAAAAATAAGTTTCCCTTGCCGACTGCTGTCAGAGTTGTGTATGGAAGTGAAAACATAAAATGGGACATTAAAGATAAGATATAATTTTATTTTTCCCCACAAGAGTACCAAGTACATTTAGAAATTTGTCATAACACTTGATAAGCTTCAAAAAGCCCCCAGGAAAAACTCAGGGCTTTGCATATGGAACAAACGTTTAATGGCTTGTTTGACTTCAGCATTGCTTCCAAAGCGCCTTTAGGCGAGATCCGTCATCAAAGCCGAAAACAGATGAAAGTCACTTGGTGCGAGAACACGAATGTATGGCGATAATGTAGGCACTCCCAACCAAGAGTTGTAATATGGTTTTACGTTGCAGTTGTTGAGTTCGGTCTCCCATAGCCATACAACAACAGAACGCCAGATTTCAGAAGCCCAGGCCACTTTTTTTCGAACCTCCTTTTTCAATTTCGACATAGTGTCACAGTACCGCGTATCATTGATTGTTCCAACCTCTAAAAAGTCGAAGCAAAAGTAAACGCTTCTTCCGTATGCAAAGTCCTGAGTTTTCCTGGCGAGATTTTTGAAGTTAATCAAGCGGTATGATAAATGTCTCAATGTACTTGGTATTTGTGTGGAAAAATAAAGTTATGTCTTATCTTTAATGTCTCCTTCTATGTTTCGACTTTCATACACAACTCTGACTGTAGTCGAGGAGGGAAACTTTTTTTCCCGACTCATCCTCGTAGATTCGGTCATTTGCTTGGAAATCTAAGAAAGCCAGAGCATCGAGTAGTCTATTTAATGAATGGTCCACAGATAAATTTCAATAAATTCCATGGATAGAATTTATGATCACGGTAGTTGAATAGATCTTACTGGTAGGTGAATGGAATGGTAAGGCGTTTGTTTCTGTTGAATTCTGGTGCTATTTAAGATCCTCTCAGTAAAGAGTGTGGTAACGTTCTGTTACCTCTTACATCCGAATCCTCTTGTCTACCTGTAAACGCGGCTAGATGTGTAGGAAGAACTGATTAATCCACAGACATTATTTCCAATCTAATTTGATTTATTAATTCTTATTAACAATTATTGAACAGACACAATACAATTCTAATTAAGGCTTATGATTTATCGTAGAGTGCGGAGGTGAGATTCTATAACACGGGGATACTACTACAGACCCTCATCTGAATCTAAGATAGCTTAAATACGCTCAATTACAACTACGTCACACAATAATAACAACTTTTACTTAATCAAGTGTACAATACTTGATCCTTTAATGCATCGGATCCTACACTGGAAACTTTCAGGCACTCTCTTCGGCTTGATTAAATGACGATGCTTCCACGCTCTGTAATCTTTAATTAATTCCACTGCTTTTCAATCTTCAACTAACAA